GTATTTTGTCAGTGCTTCTTGAACGGAATTAGCTTTTAGGAGGATGTTGTCCACATACAGATGCGATGCAATCTCTCTTGCTAAGGGTGTGTTTTTCCAGTCCAAAAAGGCGAGAATCACCATGTTCAGGATGCTTGGAGAAGCTGTCAGCCCGAATGGGAGCCTCGTAAATCGATATTCGACGATATTGTCTTTTGTTGGCGCTTTTTCAGTGTCTCGCACCCATAAGAATCTGCATAAGTCTTTGTGAGCGCTACTTAGTCGAATTTGCGTGAAAGCGGCTTCAATGTCGCAAAGCAGAATGATGTGGTCCGATCGACTCGACGTTAGTACATCATGTATTTTGTTCACGAAGGACTCGCCGGTGTAGACCACGTCGTTTAGCGAAAATTGTGTTTTTCGCTTGGAGGACGCATCAAACACTATACGTAAAGGTACTGCTTTGTTTGGCCGCCAAACGCCTGAGTGTGGCATATAATAGGTACCGGCTTTATCAGAAATATCATCTTTGGCTACCTCTATTACGTTGTCCTGTATGTATTTGTCAAGAACAGTTTTGTACCAATTTCGTTGGTTTTCGTTGTTTTGCAGAAGCTGCCAAAGTGCTAGTAGTCTTCTGTAAGCCACTGCATAGTTATCGCTTAGATCAACTATGCTGTCTTTGAGTGGTAGCGGAGCGATCACAACACCGTCTTGAAACGAAAGTTTCTTTGAGTAGGTCTGGAAATATGTGAATGTGCTCTCATCTTTTTGCAACTCTTCTGAGGAAATTCCTAGTCCTTCGAGTTCAAACATTTTCTGGAGCATTTCTGACTCTTTGACGTCATTTATGAGAGTTAGCGCGTGGATTGCAGTGTTGGTGATAGTTAGCGATGGTGGAATCGTCCCTTTGCCGTGTATACTCGGTCCAAACACTGTTTTTGTAATGTTCAATCCTGACGGCATTTGTATATTTTCTGCGCTTGGAGGTACCATCGCGAGAAAATAGTCTATACCGATGAGGATCTGTGGGTTTTGAAGTTCACCGCGCACTCGCGGATTGCAGACGACCATTTCTTTTGTTTGCAGGAAATTTTTGTCTTCATCGGACAGCCGAACCGAAGAGAAACCGTTGGTTATGACCGGTTTTGTTTGCCCGGTGAGTATCATCTCTTTGCCATAGGCTGTGCTGACTTTCAGCGTTACGATCTTGCTTTTGAAGTGTTCGGTATGTCCACCAATGCCGGACATCGTGCAGTGTTCCGTGTTCTGGGTTGGTAGACAAAATTCTTCAGCAGTGCTCTCTTTTATGAGTGTTTTTTGAGCTCCTGTGTCGAAGAAAAACAGGACTTTTTCATACTGATTTGTTCTGTGGTTCCACAGATTGCCTTCCGCGGTCAGAAGCACAAATTGTTCTTTGTTTCTGACCGCTTGTGCATTGTCGTTTCCTGTATCAACACATGTGTTGTTTACGACTTGTCTTTGGTTTGTCCTATCTTGGAAGTCGCGTCCATGATTATTGCGCCATTGTGGTCTATTTGCTCTTGTATCATGTCTATCAGTGCGATACGCTGACCTTTGATGGTTGTAGTTGCGATTGTTTGTTGCTTGATTCGAATTTCGCTCGTTCATGTTTGGAGCGTTTGAGGATGGGCACAAGGAGACATCATGTAGTCGCCCACATCGAGAACAGTTTGGTTTCATGCAGGCACCAGCACTGTGTTCGTTGGAGAAGCATTTCCAACAAAGATGTTCTTCTTTGACCACGTTTCGTCTTGCGAAAGTGTCGGTTACCGTTCTGCAATTCGATGTCGTATGATTGGACATTTTGCAAAATACGCACGTGTTCGTATTTTTTGGTATAGTACGTTCGTTGTTTGCATAATTACGCTCGCTGTGTGCATAATCTGGGCGTTTTCGTGGTTGTTCTCCTTTCGAGAAATGTTTGAGACGCGAATCCACATATTTTTTTGCTTCAATTTGCTTGTCTAGAGCTTCCATTATGTCGTCCACTGTGATTTCTTGCAGTTCTTGCGTTGACGTGAGCACGTTCTTCACTATGTTGTATGGAAATTTTTCCAGAATTTTCTCTGTCCAGAGAGCATCTTGCATCTTGCGGATGTCTTGCCCGGCAGAGACCAGCTGGTTTATCAACATGCGTATTTTGTCATGTGTATCTGAGCAGCTTTCCGCAGTATTTGTTGCTGGTCGCATATCGACCAATTTTTGCACAACTCTGGCTCTAATTACAGGTCTGTTGCTGTATTTTTTCTTCAGTGTTTCTATCATCCACTGGTAATTTTTTGGTACCATTTCTATTCCTTTCACGGCAATTTCCGCCCTTCCCTTGAGGCTGTCCTTGAGGAACATCATTTTTTCTGTGGTACTTAGGACTTTGTTTTCGTGTACCAGGGTGCTAAAAATGGCCCAATATTCGGCGAATTCCTCTTCGTCGCCATAAAACCTCGGTATTTTGAGCTGTTTTGGTTTTAGAGTTCGACACATCATGTCTTCTGACTCTACGACGCTATTTATTAATAGGTCTTCGGATAACCATGCCCCTGCATTGGCGGAGAACTCTCTATCTTCTCCGTTGATTTCACCTTTCATTGCTGCATCGCTAGGTGTCGATACCGTTTCGGTATGTACTGGCATATCCAGCTTCTTTGCAAGTCTCTTCGCTTTCGTGCGAGTTTCGTTCAATCGTGCTTTTAGCACGTACATTGTGTCGTTAGCAGCCGCGATTTTTTCGCTGTATTGCGTGTCTTTGTCGATTTCTTCGATTTCAGCTAACAGTTCTTTACGATTACCTTTTACGTTTAGGTCGTCGAACTGCTTATCCAGCTTGTCTACCAAGATCTGGAGTGCGTCTCTGCTCTCCCTGATGAGCTCAATTCCTCCGCTGATCAGGTCTGCAGCATTGTAAAGCTCATCGAGCTGTTTGGTCTCGTTTCCGCTGGTCGAGACTCCTTCGGAGTAACCTCTGTACTTTTCCACCAAGGTACCCAAGGATTTAGCACTGTATGCTATTGGTTTTTTGTGTAATGTGAATGCCATTATCACTTTTTGCTCTTTTTTTTCGGCTTAAGTGCTTTGTTTTCGCTTTAACTTACAGCCTACTTTATTGTAGCGTATGTGTTGCCAGGTATGATAGCCTGGGCTTTTTGTTGCTAGGTATGATGTCCTAGTCTTTATTGCCAGGGAAATGCTGGACTTGTGCTAGGTATGATGGCCTAGACTTTTTCGATTCAATAAAGAATCTCGACCAAAAAAAAGGATTTTTTTGACCGATGCACCAAAATGTGCCAAACGGTGGTTCAGACTTTTACAAAAGGATTTATTCGGGAATATAGCAATAATATAACAACAATGACGTCCTTTTTACCCGGACCAGGTGCAAATTGATGGATGCGAAAGAGACATGCTTATCACTCCCAGCCCCCTGCTTTTATAGCAGGGGAGCTGGGCAAACAGTTCTATCGGGAGCCTGCCGAAGAGGTCGCCATGTCGGCGACAAATGGAAAGAAGCAAAAAGGCTAGGAAAAGCCTACAATCAGGGAAGGTAAGAAGTTGGCATACTTTTTTTGCAGAGTTGGCAGACAGAGTTGCCCATATGTCGGCGCTGTGGCGGCGCCGTGCCAGAATCGTATCGATCGATATCCCGGTACTGAGCTAGCACGACACTGAAATGGCGCGAGCACGAGCAGCTCAGGGCCCGGCACAGATCGTTTGGAAGCAGGCTGGACTTCGTTCGAAGCAAACAGCAAAGGGGATATCGTTTTTGACGAGTCGGAAGCGAGCACCAAGAATAAGCGCCATTTAGTCGAACACAAGCTTTTCGGACAGGTTATCACACGATTGACATGCTCTATCGTGCATGGCGAAAAGTGCGCGCGATTTGAAAGCAAGGCTTAAATGAACAAAATGCTTGTTTACAGCGCACAAGCATATGGCACCAGAATTGAACTGTATGTTGGAAAATTGTTCGCGAAAGTATTATGTAAAAAGATTTGAAAACTTATGTGAAGTAATGCCTTTTCCAAAATTAGATCGTCTCCAGACGGTCACCAGACGATCTGAGATCGTCTGGAGCATATAATTTCGTCACTTCACATAAGTTTCGGATCTTTTTAGCATGGACGGATTCCCCGGTCAAAAATCTTCCCCTGAGCATGAAGACATTTTCATACCATTGCCCTTCCTTTGTTTTTTGCCTTCATTTCTTCTCGCTTTGTTAAATATTGCGCTCTAATGCCAAAGTCTCGTGCATGCGTAGTATTCAGCTCCAGTTTGGATTTTCACCCTTATCTTACGTCTTTTCTTTCAGACTAGTAAATCTTTCTTGTTTTCATCTTCTCCCAAGCAGGTAGGTCAAAGGGGACTTCGTAAAACTTCCGAAATTCATGGGAGACTTCGTTTTCAGAAACCCTAGGAACCGACACGTGCCGGGCCCTGGAGCAGCTCTGAATGCAGCCTAAACCTATGCCTGGTGCTATAGCAGAATACAAAACGCATTAGAAGAAAGGAATCTACGCATGCGGTTCTGTATGCGTACATATAGGCTGTGTCAACGAGAATGTCCCGCTTTAGCAGCGAGTGCTCGCACCCGCCTCACTCGAGCCTTGGCCGCGTTTGCGCACGTATAATCTTGGCATTCTACAACATTCAGCATTCGCTGTTAAGGTGTGAAAAGCCCAGAGTATATGTTCGCGAGCGCGACGCAAGGCTCGAGCTGGACGGCGGCCAGGAGAATCCTAGCCGCTGGTGCTGTGACACCGTCATTGAGACAGACTCTATTCTTACCTTATGCCAATGTCTGTTCTCTCATGGCAAAACACAATTTCTTTGGCATATTTTGTTGTTTTTGTGAATAACAGTAGTAATGAGTTCTTGACTTGTTTTGAAGTCTTTATTTCGGCAGAAAGAAAGGCACAAAAATGACCCGCTGAATAGGATTGAATAAGGAAAATAAGCGAATTACATATAAGTGAATATAAGTGGCAGTGTAACCATTTGCACAATCATCGTCGCTCGTTCTGGACATAGTCAAGTAGACTGACAAGAATTGAAGAGAGTCTCTTGGCTAGAGCAAGGGCACTAAGGGAGTCGGCCTAGAAGGGTAAATGAGGGTAGAATTATTTCGGAGGTAAAGTGGTCCGTTTACCTCTTCTGCAGTATCCTTCAAACGTTTTGTAATATCTCCATTTACAGCTCTATTAACAATCGCATCCTGTTGTGCTACTGCGACTGCTTTGACTTCTTAAAATTTGAAGCCAATTTTTAGTAACTTTTTTACGCTATTCAATCTCCGCACCTGCGTCATTCCCTTCTTGGAATCCATTGCTGAAATGTTTAAAAGCGCTTGGGACAGCTGGTTCCATAGGTGGATTGAGTGTAGAGGTTTGATAGACAAACGGAGTGGTCGTTCTGCTGGGATCAATAGGAGTAAAAGTCGAGCGTTGTGTCGTCGTAGGTGGTGGGATGGTTGTGATTGAAGGATCAGGAATTATTTGAGGCATTATGAAGGGCTTCGCTGAAAAGAATAAGATCTTTGGTGTGATTTTGCCTAACGTTTCCATGAATTGTTTTCTAAAATTTTATAGTCCATTGCTGACTATGGAGATGACAAGCGTTGCAACCGCGTCGCAATAGTGGTTTTGCCTGCGTCCTTCACTTGCGTCGGTGAACAATCTTTACTTTGTCAGGATTTTTCGTTATTCAAATGATATTTAATAATTTTTCAAAGGCTAAACCTAAATGCAAAGTTTGGTATCCTAAGGATAGTAGAAGCTTCCGTTATATAAAAAGTGTTTCGTAACAGTCTATGAGTTTACCACCGAGAACGAAGCTTTCAAAAATTCCAAATTTTGCGATTTTGAGTTTGCTTCCAGAAATTCGCGGAGTGCCCCCAGCTAGCCCAAAAAAATCTTCACGCGGGAGAAGCCATGCAACGGTTGGCTACCGTTCCTGAATGCGCAGCTGATGGTGGTAAATGACACGGTACAGGTCAAATGGTACAGAAAAGAGAGCAGTAAGAATATTCTTCTGCATGCACAATCCGCGCACCCGACAGCCTTGAAACGCGCCATAATCCGGAATATGATCAAAACGGCAGTCAACATCTGCAGCGGCGAAAAGGAAAAACAAGAATCACTGAGGATGGCAGCTGAAATAATGATTGCAAATGGTTATACTATGCGCCATAGACGAACAAAGAAAACATCAGCAAAGGCGAGTGAACAGAACATGAACAAAATACCTCTGTGCCTCCCTTACATCTCCGAAAAGGTCAGTACTGCGATAAGACAATGCTTGATACGAGCACAGTTGGAGAACGAAGTTGTCTTGGTGAATATTCCCCGAGACAACATCAAAACACAACTGGTACGTAATCGAATTTATGACAAGACTTGTGTCACGCGAAATTGCATAATCTGCCCTTATGGGAAAGCTGGAGACTGTTCGAAATCTGGTGTTGTGTATCAAATAGAATGCTTAGCGTGCTCTGCCATATACATCGGTGAAACAGGTAGACCACTGTGCGTGCGCGTAAACGAGCATTTGGCTAGCAAAAAGCGGCAGAACGTAATGAGTCCGCTAGGAAAGCATAGAAAGATAGATCATAGCGGTACCGATTACGACATTAAGTGCATAATTTTGGCCTACGAAAACCATATCTCCGCTAGAAAGGCCCTCGAAGCGTCCTACATTCTTGTCCGTGACCCCAAGATCAACAACAAGAATGAACAATTATCTGTAACTGGAGATCTAATGCCGTATCTGACATATTGCAAACTATAAGATCATTTGTCCTATTTAAGCAGTTCGTTGACATCGCGACTGCTTATTCTCAACATCGCAGTCAGTTGACACGACTGTCTATACTCAACACCGCAGTCGGTCCAAGCACATCTAAAGCAGCTGATACTGCTACAAATCACGGCTGGCACTCTGGTGAGTCAAACTCTACTCGCAGACAATCTTAGCATATCTAAAGACAGAAGCAATCGAGGGTATAATAAAAAAAGAAAACATCATATACACAGACAATCTATACTTGAAGAAATCAAAAATTTCATCAAGGATTCCCCTACATATTATGAACTCTATAAATTTATCAAAAGTAAAAATAAACATTATATTTCCTCACTAATTAATATATCAACATTTAGTCCTGAGTCTCTAGATATTCCTTCTAGTTTCAAATATGCATTGTATAGTATTCTTTGTCATTACCATTTTAACAAAGTACCCGATAAGAAAACTATCACTACATATATGAATATCAAATTTCCTTACTATAATAGCATTTTAGATAATACCAATGTTAACAAAATAGTTAATAACACATCTATCATAAACCTCATTAAAACATACAGCTCTAAACCTTATCAACCTATCAGACTAATATATGAATACACAAAATATGCTTCTTGTAATATATACAATTATAACAAATTTCTTAATAATCTTCACAACCTCAACATAAACAATGTTCCATGCGTTTGTAAAAATTACCAACAATACATAGACCCTACATATAGACATGTTGTCACTGGAGATATTAACATATTTAAAACTGAACCTATATATGATGTTTTGAATAAAGGTACGAAAGTAAGATTTCCATATAGATATTCTACAGAACAAATCAAAAGTTTATGGCTTAATTTATTTAACATAATTTGCAAAAAATACAAAACAAAATATTCCTTGGATGATGTAGTTTCGACTACCATAAAAAATGAATTATATAGACACCTTCTTAGATACCATAGTAGATTAATTTATAATCTTGATAATAACTGTTACAGCCTTCCTATTTCTAATATTAAACACTATCAAAAGTTCTTCATATTTTGCCCTTTGGACAAAGCTAGCTCGAATTATGGCATTGTTTGCAAAAAACTTTATCTCGAAATATTAATGTCAGAAATGGGATTAAATAACATGTCAAGTACTTCTCCTATCTATGATTATCTTGGAACATTAGACACTGGAACCATCATTACTAAACATCTGAATTTTTCTAAAACCCATAATCTCAAAATTAATGAAGTCTGTACCATTCCAAATATTTATTGCATTCCCAAATTACATAAAAATCCGCTTAAATTCAGATTTATTACTGGTGCTTCAAACAGCAGCATTAAACCGTTATCAGAAGAACTTATGCATATTTTCAACTTTATCCGAAACCATTTTAAAAACTATACTAAAATTGTAAGCATCAATAAAAACTGTTTTGATACCTATTGGTCTATAAATGATATTAATATTTCCCACAAATTTAACCACATTAATTCGAATAACCTTAAACTGTTTTCAGCCGATTTCACTAACATGTTTACAAACATTCCTCATAATACCATTATCAGCAATCTCAAAGAGATTCTTAAAATATGTTTCAAAAATAGTAACAAAAAATATGTCGTTTGTAATAATAACAAAGTTAGCTATTGTAACCTCTATAATGAAAAAACAAAACAAAGGGTTTATAAAATTGAAGACATTTTGTACCTTGTTCAATATCTATTAGAAAACAGCTATTGCAAAATTGCAAATCACATATTTATACAAAAAGTAGGAGTTCCACAAGGGGGTAATGCCAGCCCTATTCTTGCAGATTTGACGTTATCTTACTTTGAATATAAATTTGCCATTAATCACCATAAAAATGATATCTTGTTCAAACCTTTCAGATATATGGATGATTTACTGATTATACATAATTTAGAAGAGAAAAGGATAAGTAAATGGTTGACTGACACTTACAATAATATATTAGAGTTGAAAAATACGCACCAAAGCGAATTAGAATGTGACTTTCTGGATTTAAATATAAGAATTGTAAATAATAAAATTATTACGCAACAATACAATAAAACAGATTACTTTACGTTTAAAGTTAATAGATTTACACATTCGTCTTCACACATAAGTGTTAAGGTTAAAACATCCATTATATACAGTGAAATTCTAAGGATTTATAGAACATGTACAAAATTTGAAAATTTTCTACATAGACTATTAATGCTTTTAAAACAACTAGAGGAATTAGACTACACACAAAATGTAATCATCAATGCTTTTATAAAATGCTTCACATTCAATAAATGTATTTCATACAAATATATAGAGCTTCAGTCTTTCAAAAATATGAAACATTTCGTTAAATTCGTAATAGATCGACTAGATCATTGCTGATCTTGTGATCTTTTGCCCTACCAAACTGGTATAAATATCCAGCAGTAGACCACTATTGTTAGTTAACCACTCTTCCCTACTGAAGAGCCTCGGGAGTGGTTATCACTTATTGTATTCCTGTATAGGGGTAGAGGCGAAACAGGCTTAATAGTAACACTTTATTATTTATTTATTCCTGCTTCCACTAAAGACCATTCGAATGGCCGAGTGGGAGGAGATGTTTGGCGACTAAGATCGTGAATCGAAGTGACTGACTCCTTTTAAGCCTCTGACGACGGCGTTGTGCCGAAACGTTGGGCAATAAAGTGTCACCTATAACAACCTGTACGGCAGAAGAAAAGTATTGAAATCAGTCATCACAGTATGCCCAGGTTTCAAGACAATAGGACATATAGTATATAATCTATAAAAAGTTCTTGCATATCAAAAGTTCACGTATTACTTTAGCATGCTCTAATCTGGTATGGAGAATTATCATTTCACAGCGTAAATCACCTTATCGCTCTAACTTTTTCACAGCAATGTGGGACCAGGAATTGGACATAAGCCTATTTAAAACATTTTGACGTGGTTTGGAGCGTCAAGAGTGTCTTTGCTGGAAAGGTGCAGTAATGAGGGGATTGTTTCTGTAAATCGACATTTTTAACAAATTTTCTGTTTGTGTTACCGTACAAGATTGAAGCCTGCCACAGTAAACTTTATAAACTAGAATATAAATTTTTGATGTGTAAGTTATTTCGCAGATTTTTCTGGACCAACTAGCTGACCTCCACAATCTAGCACCAATTTCAAAATCGCCAAATTTGTGAAGCATTTTTGGAAGCATTCTCGGTGGCCAACTTATAGAATGTTAAGCTTAAACATCTGTTATGGAGTGCAAGCCTCTTACTATTTTTCAGACGCCAACTATGAATCTAGATTTGGCATTTGAAAACCTATTACTTTCGCACCAACCTAATATAACTGGTGATCCTGCTCCATTAATATTTTGTGCCAGCGGTAATCGATGAAAAAATTTTTGCAAACTGATTTGGTTTCTTTTACAAAATGTAATAAAATATTTTGTCTAACTAAGATATCGAACGCCTGCATAGTTGTTCACTTTTATGCTAGGCTACTTTTTTGGTGAATGTCAGGAAGCGCGAGTTTTATTGCCAGTCCCACACCGAAAACATTTAAATTATATTTTACAACGCTCCAAATGCGGTTGAAATTTGTAAGAAGATACTAGATAACCGCATAGGTTGTTCAGCGTCTAGAGCAAAAAAGTCCAAAATATGCATGTTCAAGTTCAGAATCTTTAAAATGCAAGCAGTATCAATCTCATAAATTCAGTCATTCTCAGTCTTCGAACCAGCCAAACTCGACAAGTGACACTTCAAGCAGCTAGTAAACCAAAGCACTTTGTTTGGTATTTTTTGCGTGTCGACCTTCTCCCCGATTTTCTGTCAGTTTTTTTTCAATATAGCGATCCTTTCAAGTAAGGGGGCGGGGGTGGGAGGAAGGTGATTTTGAAAACCAAGTAAGGAAGTTGTTGCTGTGTTTTGGTTTGACTGATTCTTAATTATACTAGTGAACCAGTAATTTAAAGGTGCTATTGGAAGAGCGTTCGCTTCGGGACCGCCGCGCGTTCCCGCTATTTGCAGAGTTTTGAATTGAGTTAACGATTCTTTATATATAAGATTTGTCATAAATTCTCTGAATGGCATCCGCCATGCCTAATCAGTATTATTGTACGCACGGACTAGTCGCTATGGACATTCCTCCCAGCTACCACCTCTTAGTGGAGACGCAGACGATGAGAGCGATATGAGAGCGCGTTACAAATAGAAGCCGCAGAGTTCACAACTTACAGTCCATGCGTCTAATCACGCAATAATTTCCAATTGTAATTTTCGAGAATCAAACGAAGATGTGAGGCTATAATCTTCCATGCATGTTTACAAGTCTGTTTACTTACGTGACACTGTATTTCCAAAGCTGAAATGTGTGATAGTCGTGGTGTCCATCATCGTAGTTGGTGGATTTTGGCTTGATGTCTGGTAAACAAATTTGCTGGTAGGAGAGTTCGACTCCACGCCTAGATTCCTTTGCAAAACATTGTCGTTCGTCATAGCGCTGGTTTCTGCAATTTTTCAAATATTTTGTCTACTCTCAGAAGCACCGTCCATTCAGATTAAGGATTGTGAGATTTTGATGCTGTACATTAGTGGGGCCCCAACTAGGTAATCGCTTGACTTCCGCTGCAAAAGATGAATGTCGAGGCGAGAAATCGCTCTAGAATGTAGAAGCGGCCTAGGTAGCTCCGCCCATCAACGTGGGTGGTCTGAAGATAAAGAGTTTGAAAATCGGGCTGCAGTGTATCCAGAGTTGTATATAAACCTTCATTATGATTATCAGGTCGACATTCCCATCTGCCCTTAAGCCCCCTTTCAAGCCTATTATCTTCAGACCACCCACGTTGCTAGGCGGAGCCACCTGGGCCGCTTCTACTTTTTAAAGCATTTTTCTCCTATTGGAATTCATCTTTTGCAGCGGGACCAGGGGAAGGCAGTGTCCAAGCAAAAAGTCGATTTCGAGATTTTGTGCTTACCTGGGCTTATTCGCCATGCTGAATCCGAAAATCAACACTGGAGAGCGCGAAAACGGCGAGAAAAGGCTCTAACAGAGGAGGGAAATTCCAGGTGGGCGGGGCTGTTCACATAGTGGTGTCACTCTCCCAGCTCCAGGAGGACCTTCTCTCTTCTGCTAACCGCACTAACATCACCACCACCCAACTGCGAAACGCATGACATAAAATCGGAACCGAGAAGGTCGCTCCTGAAGCCTGGGAGAGTGACGTCGCGGTGTGAACTGCCTCGCCCACCTGCGATTTCCCTCCTGCGTTAGGGCCTTTTTTGGCGTTTTCGCGCTCTCCACTGTGATTTATCGGATTCAGCATGGCAAATAAGCCCGGGTAAGCACAAAATCTCAAAATCGACTAATTGCTTGGAAACTGCTTTAAGGCCCCGCTGTTGTACAACGAAATCTCAACAAGCTCAATTTGAGTGGACGCTGCCTTCAACAACTATCAGGCCTTATGCCCTACCTTCGCTCTTCTCATCTTCAGTAATGGTGGAGCTTTCAAATTCAAATGGGTCAGATGTGCTATTGTTGTGCTCATCAAAGTTGCTGTCATTGGCGGAGCTTTTGTTGTTATTGAAACTAAAGTGGCTATATGTCGTCGTTTCTACGGCTTCATTCGTAATTGATGGATAGTGAGTGGAGGTACGGTAGACGAACGGAGAATGGCTGCTCGGCCTTAAAGGCACTGAGACGGGGAGTCTCTGAAAGAGATTTTTTAAACTGTGGACTGTGGTGGGAGGAGAAGGGGAAAGGGTTGACTGCTACTAACCTCGATGGCATCGTCGCTAAGGCGAACAACTGTGGGGATTTCATTAGTGTTTACTCGATTCGTGATATCTTCTCTCCCTATAAATACTCCTTTTCATGCACATATGGAGAAGAAGTACAGCCGCGTAGATGCCGGTAAATCTAGTGCACTTGCGGTGCCAAAATTTTGCGGTGAAATTTGCGCGTCAACCAATAGCTGCACCTGGGATGCTGGCAAATTGCGGGCGTGTAGGCACGCAGTTCGTCGGCATTTCAGGCGTAGCTTTCTGATCACGCGCAAATTCTACCGCAAAATCTCGGCACCGCAAAGGCACCATATCTACCGGCACCTCTACTCAACTGTACGTAACGTACCTGTGAGATTGCTAAGTCTTGAAGTCACCACCGATGCTGCCAATTTTCCCGAAAGCAGAGCTCCGTTCATCAATCCCATAGATGAGTTGGAGTACTCAGCGGAAGCGAAGACCACACGCTAAAATTAGAAATCTCATCAAAATTTCCTGCAGAAAAACGGAAGACTCACCTCCCCATGAGTGTTCACTCCTTGCAGATACTTCAGACTTTCGGCTTCCACACCTGGAGTCAGAACACCTACCGCACCTCGAGCAAATTGATCTGATACATAATGCTCGTCACTGCAAAAACAGATAAGCTACGCCAGCTCTAAACAGTTTTCTCGAAAGCAGTGGCTCAGGAGATTTTCATTTACGGGTTTCCCGTCCCTCTTTATACTTCTAAATGCGCTGAGTCCAGGGCTGTGCTTGAAAAGTCGAGAAAATGCTTTCTATAACGTTTGGAGATTATTGGAGGGGATGAGCGAGCCATCGCCAACCAAGTCGCGATTGGTTGCCTGAGCGGATCAGCCAATTGCCGCCAACATGGGCGGACTTACAGTATCCTGCAGCCAGTCGCTGTTTTTGGCAAGAATCCCTCGCCCAATCCCTCAGCAGTCTCCAAGGCCGAAAAAATGCCGAAAAAGCACTTTTTTGACTTTTCAAGCACAATCTCGAATTCGGTGGATCCAGAAGGCCATGTAGGTGCGAAAAGCTCGCACTCGTAATTTTCCCGAGTCATTGCCTTTGAATCACGGGCTGACCTGACATCCAAAGGCAAGTGTGTTCCCAAACCAAGGGTTTGGGTGACGACTTCCACGTAAGCGGCATTGCGTTGAGCTTGACTGATTGGTTTTTCATCAGCGAAATGCGCGATTCCCCAAAGCATTCCAGTAGAGCCGGTTCCGGCTAGAAAATGTAATTGAGTAAAATCGAACGGAAAGCCTAGTAGACATATATTTATGGTGTGAATCATTCCGAGTAACGGGTTCATCATATTTAACCTTAAGCTAATCCTACAATTCCTCAAAAATAAACGGGTAAGAGAGTAAGGAGTGAGTATTGAATGACTTTTTCACTGCTAAGTGAAAGGTAGAAAGAGGTACAGGCGAGTCATCTTACGCAAAGATTGGACGCCGTTGCCCAAGTGAGATAGTTTATGTTCGGAGGAGACAGCAGGCGGTAAGAGGGATTCAAGAGCACTAGATCAGGGAGACGCCGATCGCGTCCGCAACTGCACCCTGTCTCTGCGTGCGATGACTCGGCTATAGACTAAACTTTTCTGTTATTCTGTTGATGTTATGACTAGATTTTTTTGTTATCTCAGTATTTTACTGATGCAGAGTAGAGGCGTAGGTGAAATTAAACTGATTAGACACTTACCACATAATGTAGGCCTACCGACGTCGAAAGCTGTTAGCCATACAATCGGGCCTTGCGCATTCGTGTAGATTATCTAAGCAAAAAATGCGCTATTATTTGATCCACTTTCTTAAAAAAGGGACTACTGCTATCACTACGAACCCAGTCGCTCGCGTTTACCTGTCCATTCTTTCCATTCGACCTCCAAAATGGGCTCGAGTATGTTATGGTGAAGTAGTAAGCCTTTCCAGCTGGAGCATAGTCTTCTAGAATTGCCTTGTTGGAAGTAAGGAGGGCAAGGTAATTTGTTGAAAAGTTCCTACTTGTAAATTGAGCAAAATCGCTTTCCAGTGGTGGAGTGAATTCGATGGACGTTGTAAGAACTGGTGGAATTGTGACAATAACCTGTCTAGCTCTATAGAACGTAGTTTTGGTCTTGACGATTGCATGGGATTCACCTGAATATAATTAGATGCGTTGTTGATGAGGTTTTTGATGGCTTCTTTGAAGGCAAATTTGCATCAATGTGAGTATAGGGCTTTTGAAAAATCGTGAGATGGCGCGACCGCACGCGACACGCACGCCACTTCCGAAAACCGCATTTTCCTGGTTTTCATCTCTAGTCGAATGGTTTTTTGCTTACGATTGTATCTAGACACTGGAAGTAACTGAGCTAAACGTTGAGGTGATGTCTTCTTGTATAAGCTTCTATGCTCCTGTGGACGCAAAGTCCGCAGTAAAATCCGTCGTCACGATTTTATAAATGAACTATAATTGCACTTAAGCGTAAATTTGGCTTCAAACCTATACCACTAGCGACGAAAAAAGTACAAGTCGTAAAGTTGCTTACTCTCTTCTATGGCAGTGACTGTTTGATTGAATCCAATATCCACCCAATCAGCTAGAGCACTGAAATGCATGTTAATTAACACAATGTTCTTCTGTGTTGGAACATTTGATTATAATCGTAACATAAATTTTGGTAAACTTTAATCTTCCTTTAGTGTAGAAACTTTGTCAAGGCTATTTGGCAGATATGAGGAAAGGGCAAGGGACTATTCATCAAAAACATTTTCATATTCACTTGAGCAACAAAACAATTCTGTTGCTCGCCTCCAAACACAAGTTTTTCCATCTGTAAAATTCTCTCACTTTTATTTTCAACTGGGAACCAATGCTAATGCAAAGACAGTTGGAAGTCATACTTGTCGATAGAATGAGTTGGAACTTTACCAGAATGAAAGATCCTAACTTTTTGACTATCTGATTTTTTATGTGAACTGTGTACATGGAAAAGCATTCGATAATGCGGAAAAATTTAAGATTTTGAAGTAATTTATGAAGGTTTTTTACTAAGCGTAAAGATTCTTGTGTCTATAGCTAATATCTAGCATGTAAAACTTCAATTAGCACTTTACATATAGAAGTTACAGCCTGTGTCACTTACGTGCTCTTTTTGCATGGGAACGGCGCATCCTTAGCCAGGGCTCGGCACGAGGTGGCTAGATGAAAATGCGAAAAACGAAGTCCTCTTTGACCCCCCACCATTTTCCCTAAAAATCCTCCAAAAAACGAAACGTCGACTAAAAAAAAAACGTCGCCAAATCGCCAATTTTAAGTGTGTCTTCGGTCACAAAAACGAAACCCCCTTTGCTTTTCATCCCAAAAACGACACCCAGCTTGCTTGTAAGCCACCTCTTGCCGAGCCCTGTCCTTAGCGCGGGGGCTTTGCGTGCGCACCTCTGAATGATGAGACCTAACAAAGGAATTCAAGTAACTTATCGTTAGATTCACGTTTTGAGATGAGACAAATATACTTGGAATCAAATTCGAACGCTGATCCCAAATATGCTATCCTTAACTGCGGCACATTCTCTGAAGAAAGTTTGAGGGTGTTTTTGTGCGAAATTGACATACCACTCATTACTGGGAAGGCGGCCTGTTGATGGAAATGGCTAAAAGAGGTACTGGGATACTTAAAGGCAGCGTACACCCCAAATTTGAGTTACCGAATTTCCTAGATCTTTCTACACCGTGTATATACTGGGCCCAAAAGAAGACCAACTGCGTTGGTCCGGTCTCCCAATGTTGCTTCTGAGCGAAGAAAACCCCCCTCAATTTTCTTTCACGCCGCCCCTTTTCTTTCGCTCCGCCTCCTCCGGACGAATCCATAACAGCGTAAGCTGCAATTGCAGTTGCAGTTGCTGTTGCAACATCTGTTGCATTTGTTTTGGGTGTACGCTGCCTTTAAAGGCAGCGTACACCCAAAATTTCACCATCGATGTTTTTGTCATTCTGAGGCCTTTCCGTGCCGCTGATTACAGTTATGTCATTGAAAACCTCCAAAAGTCCCAAAAAACCCCGTTTTCCGGGGACCCTCTCTTCAGAGGCGGACGAGTTTCGAACTGCTCGTCCCCGTCGGCATGCCACAGCTGCAACAGCATGACAACCTGCAGTTGCAAATGCAACTGCTGCATATGCTGTCGTGGTTCGTCGCCCGAAGGAGGCGCACCGCAAAAAGCAACTGCACTGTTGCAAATGCAGTTGCAGATGCAACAGCATTGCAACAGCAACTGCAACGGCAACTGAAGCTTACGCTGTCGTGGATCCGTCCGGAGGAGGCGGAGCGAAAGAAAAGGGGCGTAGTGAAAGAAAATTGAGGGGGGTTTTCTCCGCTCAGAAGCAACATTGGGAGACCGGACCAACGCAGTTGGTCTTCTTCTGGGCCCAGGATATACACGGTATAGAAAGATCTAGGAAATTCGGTAACTTAGATTTTGGGTGTACGCTGCCTTTAAAGAATATCAGCTTGAGTCTGTTGACAATGGCAAGAAACTTGACGCAGGATGTACTTAGAAGGTGATACCGTATTGTCAGGTAGGTTAGAGCTTGCAAATTTTGCAGAGAAAAAGTCAGTAAGTAAGGCTTATTTAAAATCAGGGTCTAATGCTGATCTCAAATGTATGTGTCTTATATCAAAATACGAATCTAAGTTATCTGACTTTCCTTGTAAGTACCTCAGTATACGCACGTGAAGCGTGCGAATCTCTGGCGTGCGGTGGCGCGGATGGAAAATGGAGATCCTGTTGACACAGGCTGTACATATGCTGTCATTGGCAATGACTCATCAGTAGGGCGTTATTTTGACAATACAAAAATTGCTCTTTCGAAATTTCAGAAATTAAGAAAAATAGCTTATTGTGAGTCAAACAAATGCGGCACAGTTTACTAGCCTTTTTACAGCAGTTTTTACTACTTATATAACCTTAAACATTTCCGACCTTGTAAGTCTATGGAGTCCACCTTGCATCAGCAGACTTTGACCATGTCCATAGCGTGAAAGCATATCAGCCAAAGTACCATTTTCACTTCCTGATGCTAGCATGATATGCAGCACTGAGGAGTTTACATCGGGAGAATCATAAAGAACCTAAGATGACAAGGTAATCTTGACCAGTTGTGGATTTTTTACTCACTTGAAGAAGACGATTTGCTGTGTCGGTTTCGGCTCGAGTAGTGTGTTGATTAGCTAGATAGTCGTGGACATTCTGTTTTGCTAGAGTCAGAAGGGCTGGAGATGCTAGCACGTCGTCAAAGGTGTGCTTGGTGGAAAGTAATCCGGCTTGCCTAAAAAAATTTCTCGTTAAAATTCTGGCCTATCTGTCCATATTTAGCAATCATTTTACCGTCTCGATCTTCGGTAACCACGAATGTTTAGCGACCTCAGTCCACAATTAGATTGCGTGTACAGCGTGAGTCCAATCTCATTGGCCAAATCGACTACCTCATTAGCAGATGGTGATATGAAGTAAGATCCTGAAGGAGATTGTTTGTAAGATTAGAACAAAGCATTTTCAACAAAAAAAGCGCGGAAAGCTTCCACATTCTCGCGTAGTTATAGAATATCACTTGAAGGAGATGGTAAACGATTATAGAGTGTACAGCTAGTCCCAGCTGCAATGCCTATTTTATGCGCGGCTACGCATCCGCAACGCAAACGGGGACACCACGATTGAAACCGACTATCACCCCCCACTCTCCGAATGGGTTGTGAAATTTTTTAAAGTTATTCGTATGAGTTATAAAGATGTGTAAGTGATTTATTGTAATTATAAATGTTTGAAATATTTTTGATTCATTGTAACCTTTAAAGATTTCTTTTCGGGTCGGGGTAGGTCCGCAGAAATTCTGGAAACCATTTCAAAGTTTTCGGAGTGCGTGACCAACCCCGAAAATTTTTTTGTCGCCTCTCCTCCGAACGGAAATCCAGGATACGCCACTAGAAAGAGCTGCTGGATAGGGGCAATGTTTTGCCCAATGTTCGGTTTCAGAATTTCCGATATTTTGCCTCTTTCTATTTGTTATTCTAGAACTTTTTACACCTTCTGAAAACTCATAGTCACCTGTATCAACCAAGGCGTTTCCTTCTGCTGTGTGCATCGATTTTGCTCGAATTCGTCCTCCAACCTTGAATTATCATAATTACCAATCTGAGGCTTTTGGCAATAGTCTGTCTTTACCTCAGGCCGTCCCTCCAACACTTTCACTCGAGCTTGTGGAATTTTCCGTCTCAGCTCTCGTACTGCGTTTAGTCCGGTAAGACCCGCTCCAACCACAACGACATCAAAGATCTGCAACTGCTGTTTGAGCATGCTGTTCAACGCCCTAAGTACTTTCTAATAGAAGTAGCTGTGTCTAACAGCCTATATTTGCTTTGGAATTTATGAAGTCACTCTAGAGAATGCGCTCTAGAACCGGAATCATGCTGCACGGTACGTGATTGCGCTCGAGTGCATTTTGCAATTACTGCACTTTGCGGACAACTGAAACTTATACAAACACTAACTATGTAGTTCTAACAATATCTGACGTACAGTTTACCCGTCGAAAAAGTTTGGAAATTTTGCATGGATACCAGCTAATGAAAAACTCTGCCAAGCCTCTGGCAGCAAGAGTAGGAAGTCAGGATTTCCAGGAATGTGTCTTCCTCGAGATGATTTGGTCAGTGCACTTTTATCTCTTCTCAAAATTCAGCAGTAGGCTTTATTTGATTGAGAGTGGTTTACGGATTTACAACTCAAAGTTAAATCGTTTTATTAGAGCTCTTTAAGTAAATCCTTCTTTGAATAAACCAAACTGTTGCTTTTCTTCGACAAACTTAGGGCACAGTTGGGTAGAGCAAAGCAAGCTCTTCAAGATAACCATCAAAGATCCACCTAAGTCCACCATGTGGAGTTTGGAGTCAATAATCAAAAAAAAATCTATCAGCTGAGATCTATGAAGCTCCAGATTGGTCGTCATGCAGAATACATATGTAGTAATTCATAAATGCATCTGCTGATTTTTCGCAGATATCGAGGAAACAAGATAGTCCCAAAATGGTACCCCCCCCCCCCCAGCTCCTCCCCCATATGTAATTGTTTAGTGCAAGCCTTAATAAAAATCTTGAATCTTAGCTCTACATGCATAAACTGAGAAGTACCAAGTTTAACATTAAAAATCATAAAAGTGACAGTTTTGCATTTTGGACAAGTTCTGTGTCTTAATCTTGAGTTGCGAAAAAAATCAGCAAATGCACATCTATATAAAACTACTATATGATAAAAACTACTGTATGATAACCAAGTCGGAGGTTCGCAGGAATTTTCTGGAAGGAGATCCAATTTTTGAGGTGGTCGAAAAATTGTTTTTGACTCCGAATTTCACTTGATTCACGACTTGGATGGATCTGTGATGGTCATTTAGTAGAGCTTGATTTGCTTTACTGAATAGTCCCCCAAATCTGCTATCAAATAAAAACACCTCGATTCATTTGCGAAAGTGTTTTACTTTCAGGGCCACCTGTTGTCACATACCACAAATTTTGGCTGGCTTAATTCCTCGAAAATGGTGAAAGTTGGCCTAGTTGTTAGAATGTACTTGCAACCCCTAGAAGTTTCATCTCATTCCCCCCCCCCTCTCCCACCCTTTTTTCTTGTTAGCCAATATGCTAGCTGATATTGCCTCAATATTTTCATCTGTGCTGGCACTTGAGTAACTTGGGCGGGGGAGGGAGGGGGTAACAGAATTTTTTGAGACGGGGGCATGGCTTTGGCACTCCCTCTGAAAGTGTTTTCAGGAAGTCTCCTGAATTTTCATGAAAATCACGAAAAAAGGCGTGGCAATTTCCCAGCTTTTTTGTTTGCATAGAACTCATAAAGTTGAATTACAAATGGAAACAAGTAGTTGCAGTTTTATTGCCCATGGGTTTCACGTACAAGGTTTGCTTCCATTAGGGCATGAGTGGGATACAAGTCCAGTGCTTATCCGACCTAGATGTTCTTTGGTCAATAAATAAGCTACGACCTTCAATCCAAAAAATGGAAGTTCACATCACTCATGTTTCCCAGCTAGACATCGTTAAGTTTTGGTTTGTTTTTCTGACTAGGTATAGATTTGAAGCTCTCGAAAGTCGCACCAAAGAAAATGTGCGGGCTTTTAACTACTATTCTAACAGATAGGGCCTCTATCAGATAAGTCCGTCTGCAGACAAGTCCGACTTATCTAGCAGTCTCCGGACTTATCTGACAATATTTTGGACTATATAATGAAAAGAAAAAGAACTTACGTGTAACGCTCATTTATCTAAAGGGCCTTATTTTTGTCAAAAAAGCAGACTTACCTGTATTACTTTTGGCTACTTAATTTGATATGACACAATTACAATGTCAATCGTCATTGTTATTTTTTGTTTTTTACATTAGCATTTTGATCACCCAAGAAACCAGATTCTCGAACAATTCCAACCTAAATGGTGGCTGCTGTCAGGTTGTTTTGACATATCATGTCGCTCAACTTTGTTGTTTAGGCGCTTAGTTATAACTGAAGACGACAGGTAAATGCTGCATAGAAGTAACTCAACTGGAAAAAGAATTTTATAAACAAGATGTTCAAACAAAATACGGTAGCCATTGTAGGTAGTTCCATTATATGCATTATCACCCCAACATCTGATCTCTTTCCCAATCGTTCCACCATTTCCCTCCCTTTTCCCATCTTTCCACCTGCAATACTATGCTTCCTCGCCTCTTGTTAGATAATTGCCTGGAACCTCTTTGCTCCCCCCCCCCCCACCCCCGAGTTCTTTGAACAAACAATCATGATTGTTACACGCGAGGGGAAATCCGATCCGATCGGTCTTATACCGGAAGACGCCATCGGTCTCAGTGTGTATAGGGCTTGAGGCCAAACCCACCTTGAGACCTGTTTATTGCTCAAAAAATAATGGTACTGGAAGAAATTGGGAGATTAAGAAAAGTAGCGACATTTTCTTGAGTTCAGAACTTGCTGAGGAATGTTCTGTTTGTTCAGCGCCGCCTTTCTCGCCTTTAGCTTGAGTTTACACTTTCGTGAGTTCAAAACATTTAGCAAGAATTTGTGCAGTGCTGCTTGTAAATAGATATAAAAGAGAAAACTGCATAAGTTAGGTGGTTGGGTAAATTTGAAACTTACCTCATCGTTCGATTCTTGGCCCTCGGTAGTAGGAATGAAACACAGCAGAAAACTGGCGAAAATTAAGACTGGATACATCCCTGAAAGTTATATAAAAGAAATCTTTAGACAGTTTTTGGTAAATGGGTTTTTTAGTTGACTCCTAGTTAAGCCATTGCCTAAAAGCAGATTTTTAATTCCTTTTTGGCCTAGAAATTTCCCTTTAATCACTCTTACCCAGTACCGTACTTTTTGACCAACCCATGTTCTCGACTACGGTGCTGGGCGAAGGTTCAAAATTGAATTTCCCGGCAAGGAATGAATTATATGAGCTGCAAATCAAGCAATGACTTAGCTGAGGCTAAAAATCAGTATATGAACAAGGAGTACACTACCCAAAATTTGCCAAAAAATTCTATGTAGCTGAGGATACATTTGGAAAAATTCCTCTTCTATAAATCAGAAAAGCATGAACCATAGGGAGAAAATCGGGAGAATCAATAACATTCCGGAAAGGATTACGAATAGGGAAGAAGAAATAGAAAGTATACATACTGCGGAGATGAGAAAAAAATGAAGTGTACGGGAAAAACTGGGGCAGAAAAAAAACTTAAGTAGACAGAAGTAGTAGTTACAAGGGCTTTTCAACTGTACAAGTACACGAAGAACTGGAAAAATATGGATTGCCTCGTTTACAGAACGTAAATGTAAAAATGTGAGATTTGGAAACACTAAATTTCTAGTCATTGCTTTCCTTTTGAATGAGGGTGAGAAGGGGGGGGGGGGAGAGGGGGCAGAAGTCTAGAAGGTTCCGTGCTAGGGTGAAAAGTATTGCAGTAAAGATACATTAGTTTGCAGTTTGTCAAATTTATTATTTACTGCATTTGTCTTTTCTTTGTTCAAAAATCCCCACTTCCGAGTGGAACCAAGAAAAATGGCCACAGGTAGACAGTAGGGTAAAATATAATTACATGATAATGATATCCCTGAAGGCAAAAAAAGGATGATGGACACAGTAAAGGTTTTTCTTCGTCTCTCCTCCTATGTGTTGGATTGAATTTTTTGCAGGATTCTGCAGAACTGGTTCCATGACTAATTGTAAGTAAATCTATGCAGACAAGTGATGATCGCAGTAAACCTCTAAGTTTCGTTTGCTTAGACAAAAAATATAGGATGAGTCTCATTTTTTTGTTTGTCCCAGGGCTGCTCAGCTTGGACAAAAAATATAGGATGAGTCAAGCGACGAAAAAAATCTTGGACAACTTTCTCAAGTAAATCGTTATGTCGACAAGATATTAGGACGGTCCAAAAGTCTTGCAACAAAATTTTGGAAAATCGTTTGTTTTCCTGTTTCAACAAATTCCTATGATGCCTTTCATGCTGAAAAGAGAAAGTCGTGATTTTAATGTGCTCTAAGCAAAAATCCACGTTGCGTCGCGGAAATAGGCTGAAAAGTAATCAGAAACACTTACATTTTTCTCAAAATTTCGCAATAAATAAATAAAATGTTGAAAAAATAAACCCACGATTAATTTCGCTTTTGATCTTGACTAACCAGTTGTAGAGCATTTTGTGCTTATTGGATATATCTAAGAATAATTGGTCAAAATTGAGACCTTTTTGAACATTTTGTGATTTTTATATTTTTATGCGGCAATTACGGCAATCTATAAGATATGACCTTTGATTCAACTGGCTTGACGGCTGGAAGGCGGGGCTTCGTTACCTAATTGAAGCCGCTCGCGCTCGCGACGCAGTCAGCGTCTCTCACACGCGCATGGTCTCTGATCTGACCTAGCCAAATTAGGTAACGAAGCCCCGCCTTTCAGCCGCCAAGCCATTTTCAAAGGGTATATCTTGAAGACATTGCAAGGTTTTGTGAGATGTTACGTTCTATAGAATTTGGATGGTTTGTCCTTGCATTCGGAAGTTTATGCGCCAAATCATGCGTAGAACCGAAAAACCTTTACGAATACCAAATCGGAATTTTCCCTTTTCCTTTGCAGATGTGCATTCGTGCATAAAATCGAAAGCTAGGTGCATAATTAAAGCACCATAAGCTAATTTTGCGCATGAAGAAATGTTTCTTTAGATCGTTTTATAATTTCCTTTCAATGGAAAAGAAGAATTTTTTTTCGGATTTCTCGAAGTTATAGATTTTTTTTGCGTTCTCACTTTTTCT